ATTGGTAGCATATCTCTTGATTTAAGTGTTGAAAATGATTCAGAGGCTATATCTAAACTGAGTAGAAAAGAATGCCATGACTGACTAGTGACACCTGCTATGGGCATAGGAGAAGAAAATGCAGTACATGTGTCAGATATGTGTTTTTCACTCTGTTCAGTAATCAATCAGTCCTTTTCAACCCTAGGATCCCACTGTGAAGGATGTACATGGAGAAGATAAGGAGAATGTGGATACCTGCCCAATAACCAGAACAGAGGAATCAACCCTAATACCGACATATGTTCCTCCCAGTTTTCTCATTGTTAACTTCTCTGTAACCCTAAAGCTACATGAGGTCTGTCTGGAAAAAGTGCAGCCATTGTTAATATAATGGGAATGGTTTGTACGATATTGATGTAATCCAGCAGCCAAGGAAAGTGGACTGGAATATGCATGTTTGAACAATGAGGACTTCACTGTACTAGTCAGTCCATCTCATTCAAAATGACTGAGTGAGTAGAGAATCGAATTTGCATCAAATTTTGCATTAAGCTTGAACATTCCTCTGCAGAAACTATTCGGATGATTCAGAAGGCCACAGTGGTGGGCAACTGGTGATTGGCAGCTTCATCAAGACAGTGCATCCGCTCATGCATCACATATTGTGCAGAATTTTTTAGTGAAAAGTCAAATTACCCAGGTGACTCAGTCCCTCTACAGTCCAGATTTGGCACCCTATCACTTCCAGCTTTTCCCAAAACTAAAATCCCCTTTGAAAGGGAAGAGATTTCAGACCATCAGTGAGATTCAGGAAGTTATGTTGGGGCAACTGATGGCAATTGGGAAAACTGTGTGAAGTCCCAAGGTACCTACTTGAAGGGGACTAAGATGTCATCTTTCTATTTACAATATTTCTTGTATCTTTTATCTTTTTCAATAAATGTCTCTATTTTCCATATTACAAGGCTGGGTACCTTCTGGACAGACCTCATATATGTATGTAGAAAGTGCTCAATAAAGACTTAATAATTGACTGAAATTAGAATATTAATACATACTTTCATAATAGAACTGTCCCATCCTTCTATGTTAACTCTAGGTCAATCACAGTAGTTGGTACTTAGCAGGTACTTCAAAATTTTTTTGTGGAATAAAAATACGATTTTCAAAGCAAGGCCATGAATTTCCAGATTATCAATGCACAATCCCATCTGACTTAAAGTGGAGAATATTGTAAAATACTGACTGTACTACATAGGTATAATGTGTTCTGTATTCTTTGAGTCACCTCTCAGAGTTGCCCAGATGGTATGAAAGAAAAAGGGGGATTCAGAAAACTATCCTTTAGCATATGGGATTTTATGAGTCAAATTGTGGGGAAAATCTGACTCCGTGTGGACTTCCATTTTGTATGTCATTCTTCCTCCGTAGGCTCAGCTTGAATGATGTCAGGAGTTCCGGAAGTCAAAATTGTGTGGGGGAATGGATCCAATACTGACTCAGACCCCATGGAAGAAGTCTACACCATAGTTTGGATGAGATAATTTGGTTGTGAGAGCTAGGGAAATAAGTGCTGATTGTAGAGAAAAAAGGGCAACCAATGTGTAAAATTTGTCTTACGACTTCCTATTTGCTTAAGGATAGTATGAGATATGATCAAAAATCTTGCTGACGCTTAATGCATAACTGTAGCCAGTTTTCAGAAAAAAAGCCTGGCTGAAAAGAAAAAGGAAAGTTTTCAGCCCCCCTTTTTTTACTAATATGGTCACACTTTGACTCCTGGTGGGTTTGAAAAACTTTGAAAGGATATCTTGGTGGTGAATTATTCTGCAGTCTCAGTGTTGGCTGAACCAACAAAGTGTGAAACCTCTAGTTTGCATGTGCAACCTAAGGTGTTTTACAGGCAGAAAAGAGAGGGAAATGTCTTCTTTGACAAAGTCTGTAAGACAGGAAAAAAGTCATAAAAGAATATACTATTGTAGTGACAGTATTCTGAACCAAAGAATCCTGTGCTGAAATATGCAAATCTAATACCACAAGATTCACTTCTAACCTGGGATGCAGGGCCAGTTACATAATTTGCAGGAACCTGTGCAAAATGAAAATGGGGGCCCCTTGCTAAAAAACTATTAGGAATTTCAGGAAGGTAACAATAGGACATTAAAGCAATTATGGGCTGTTCTAAATAAATGTGGGGTTCTAATAGGTTTCATGTCCATGAATTTGAACCTGCTGGGATTTCTCACCAAGAATTTTTAAACTTTTATTTGAAGTCTGACTATTTTTTAAAGGATGTAAAGAGTAACTATTATCTCACAAACTCTACAGGAAAAAATTCCAGAAACCAAATCTTGATAAAACATGATGGCTTGAATTCACATATCTAACACAGTTTTAGGCACATACAAAAACCCTAGTGGGCACTGACTGATGCGGGCATAGGTCGATTAGAGAAAGGGTCTTGGTTCTACACTCAGCTCTGCATTTCCCAGTTGAGTGAATTTCAGCACCACACTTTGTTTTTCTGGGTCTTGATGTACAGATCTAAAAAGTGAGGGAATAGATTATAAATAATCTCTAAAATTTCATAATCCTATGTTGTGCTCAAAGATACTATCAAGTGTCAGTAGAGCTTGAATGTTGGCCATGTAATTACTGATCTTAGACACCTTTGCATATTGTAAACACTTTTCTAATCCATACTTGTAATTTTTAAATTGGCATTCTTAAAAATTCACAAATGCCCAGACAATATACAACTCCTACTTTTGTATGTCACTATTCTTTACTCCTCACCCCCAATACCATGTTCCAGTGAACAGATCAAGGGAACAATTATAACTCCTTTCCAGACAGTTAGGAATACTTTTTCCAGATACTTGGCCAGTGGTTTCCTGGAAGGTATTGAGTGCCTACAGTGTATCTCAGAGGTTTGGTAAGGGCTTCTTGTTGCTGCGTGACCTGTAAACACACTACTCGGTCCGTGTTTTTCCTTGAGGACCACTATGCTAGAGCTATGTGGGCAGTGGTGTGCTTTCTGCACTTTTCACTGGCTTAACATGAAGCTTTGGTCATGCAGATATGGTTTGGAGAGATAGCCCCTCAAAGAGTTTTCAGGACTTTTTCAAATAAAGTAATACATGAAATTGTCTCAGGAAGCAGGATTTGGCTAAAGATCTAAGCATCATGTTTCCAACATAATCATAAATTCCGTTTAATTAAAAGCTAGTTTCTTATAGGTTAGGTCTGATAACACTGGGATTAGAACTTTAGGGAAAATAACTCAAAGTAGATCCTTAACTAAGCATTCAAATTCACATTTATTAGTGCTGTCCATGGGCAAATGTCCAGGCTGAAATGTTTTTAGGGAAAAATAATGTACAAACAATGAAACCATTTTTGATTTTAAGGAACTTAGTCTAACAAGGGAGATGGCACATGATAACCAACTCTAGTATGAGACTGAGGGATCAGAACTCTAAGAACTTAAAGTATGAACCAAGTGCTAGGCCTATGAGCCTAATTTTAAGAATGGTGATTTTAAGAAGGGAGAACTCATAGAAATAATGCCTTTTAGGCTGGGCTTGGATAAGTGGGCACAGATAGATAAATGTACCCTCAGGGATACAGATGAAGGAAAAGAGAGCTCAAGGCCAAAGGATTAGAGAAAGTTCAGCATGTGTTTACGGGAATAATGATCATCCAACATGCCCAATAATAACAGATAACTTTGACTGAGTGCTTACTACATGTTAGGCAAAATTCTTAGCACTTTATATGCATTGTGTGATTTAATTTTCAACTGAGGTCTGGAAGGAGACTAATATTAGGCCTATTTTAAAGTCCTAGATGCTCAAAATAACATGGCTAGATAGTAGTGGAGTCAGGATTCAAGTCCACACTTATAAACATGGTACTTCGGTGCACACAGTGCGGGTCGAAATGCAAGGTAGAGGCTGAAACTAAAGAGTGGCTGGCCTTCTGCATCATCCCCATGTGCTTTGCTTCATAAGTAAATTACTAAGGGAGGAGAAAGAATTCTATGTTTTTTGTATTTGGAAGAAAAAGAAATTAAAACGTTAAAAAATTCTCCATTGTTAATGATTATTTTTAAAAAATTCACCATCCAGAACTATATTGTTTAACACAGTAGCTTCTAGCCACACTGACTTGAGCATTTGAAATATGATTAGTCTAAATTGAAAAGTGCTACAGGTATAAAATGTGTACTTGATTTCTAAGACTTAGTGGGACAAAAAGAATACATATAAAAATTTTAATAATGTTGTATATTGGTACATATTAAAATATTTTGAATATATTGGTTTACATTCAATATACTTAAAAAATTATTTTTACCTGTTTCTTTTTTATTTTATCAGTGGGGCTACTAGAAAATTTTAATTTAGCTATTTGGCTTGCATTAGATTTTTTGTTGGGCACTGTTGGTCCAGAGCAATTTAAAGTTGTGGTAGATATTTAACCAACTCTGATGAAGGACTTCCTCACCACATTAATCTTTAACCACATTCTTTCCTTGCTTTCTGGCTATTTGCAAGAAAAATTTGAAAAAGTGCCCCCTTCGTAAAGGTTTGAGAACCCCTAGAATTTCCTTTTTACTGGCTCCAGACCACAAACAAATGATCAATGTCCTTCCTCAACACCTTGGAGTGAACATTTCACAAGGGCAAAGGGAGGAGGTGCGAAAAAATTTCCAATTCCTGAATGGTGTGAAGTAAAAGTGCTTTCTGGGGATCCCACAAGTATGGCATGGTGGGCATAATGGGTCTGTCTCATCATCAAAAGACCCAAGGAGTTGAAAGGAAACTCTAACTACAACACCAAAATGCCACAAAACCATAGTTATTAATACGAACTAGCATCTCAGTCTATCTGTCACCATCTCGTTTAAAAAAAAACTTGTGAAAATACGTAATCCTGATGAGACTCCAATTGGGTATAAATACCAGCAGCAAAAGGAGATGCAGTACATTTTTCTGATTGTCTTCAGAATCGCTACTCAAAGAGAAAAATCAGCTGAGTCCTTTGGACCTGATCGACTTAATACAGAAGCTACTGCTTTCAACGACTTCGACCTAACTCTCTCCAAAACAATGAAATACGCAAGTTATATCTTAGCTTTTCAGCTTTTCGTGATTTTGGGTTCTTCTAGCTACCTCTGCAAGGCGACATTTACTACAGAAATAGAAAATCTTAAAGAATATTTTGTAAGTATGAACTTTTAATACTTGTTTGTGTTTGAAATGACTGAATGTTGACTTGGAATTGTATCCATGATAGGCTGTCATCTCTAGTCCACAGTCTTCACGAGACTTGGTATTGTTTTGATTGTTGACTGGTTGAGTTTTTAACTGAATAATCTAGATTTTGCTTTAACCCTCTACTCAATTTGCTATCAAGACTAAGAGAGCCTTTGTGAATCTTTCAAAAGATAGGCATAATACATTACAAAACAGGGTGATGTTGATGATTTAGTCGTAAGAATTCATTCAACTGTGATCTCAAGTAGCATATGTATTAAAAAGAATGAGTGGTTATCAGTTTATATGGTTTCTCAGACTACCATGATGGTGACAGTAAAGTGTCAAGATTAGCCTAAAAATGAACATCTAAAATAAACAATTAAAGAAGGTAAAGTTCTTAAAACTTTGGCTTTAAAAAATCACTAATAGGTGTTTTTCTCCAAAAAGCAGTTTTAAAATTTGACTTCTCCATCTATGATATCTGATTTACCCTTGAACTCAGTCCCTTGCTGAGATTATCTAGGAGTTATAATCTCACTTGTATTTAAATTTTTTGTTTTGTTATATGAGTTTCTTTTAAAATTTTATTTATTATTAGTTAAAGTAGTTTTTTTACTTTAAATATTTTATTTGTCCAAAAGTTAGCTATTATAATAACTGCCATACTTATAGTCAAACTTTCATAAGCCATTTTATTCTCACAACATCAAATCAAATCTCTCTCACACACTTACCTATCTTCTAAAGCTGACGTAATACTAAATAGGAAGAACACAGGTAGATATAAATATCTGTACCATAGGGGGGCAGTGTTTTATAGTGGGATAATTGTTGATTTTCTTTTTTTTTACTAGGCTTGAAGACACTTAAAAAAAAAACTTGTAGTTATTTGAGATGATTGAAATATCAGCCTTGTTAAGTTCATTTTTGACAATTCAATTTAAGGGTTATACTAGAAAATAAGGAAGTTAAAACAACACAATAGTCACTGGCAATATCCAACATAATATTTTTGGGAATACTTGCTAGAAGAAAACAGGGTTGAAAAAAATCAGTAAATATAGTCAGCATCTGAGTGCAATAAAACTTATATTTTTAGGTGATTTATGAACTAATTATAAACCAATTCCCCCCCTCTTTCTTTTCAGAATGCAAGTATGTCGGATGTAGCAGATAATGAGACTCTCTTCTCAAATGTTCTCAAGAAGTGGAAAGACGTAAGCTGAATATTTCTATTTGGTTGATTTTCCTGTTGCTTATTTCCTGATGGATAAACTTATATCAATCTTTCTTTGTGCTCTTTCCTCCTAAGGAGAGTGACAGAAAAATATTCCAGAGCCAAATTGTCTCCTTCTACTTCAAACTCTTTGATTCCTTGAAAGACAACCAGAGCATTCAGAGCAGTGTGGAAGTGATCAAGGAAGACCTGCGTGTGAAGTTCTTCAACAGCAGCAACAGCAAAATGGAGGACTTCAAGAAGCTGATTCAAATTCCAGTGAGTATATCTTAGTTCTTTCTTTGGTTCCATTGCAAGGGCTCTTGCAAAAGTACGTAATGCCCAGAACTGAGAAATCAGCTACTGGGTACAGTTGTTAAAACTACGAAATAAACCAATGGCCCAATCTTCTTCTTACTCAGTCCATTTGTGCTTTTGGGTGATTTTGTCAAGTCAGTATGGGGATTATTTAATTTTGTGGTTTGGGAAAAAGCTGGGATTATGATTATTGCACAACGGTTAATGGACAAATTCAGTGAAGAAGTTGAGGGGGGTGTTGAGAAGCAGTTCTCTCACTGCCCCTTGCTTATGTGATTGAAATCCTCTTGTTTGGGATGGGAGAATGCATGTCTTAATGGAAATAACAGTGGGAGGGGAGAGATTTGTGCTCTTCTCCCAGCTTGACCACCAAGGAACTGGGTGAATTCAGACTAATCATAGACCTGGCTTAGTTTCCCATCATAAAGGGAACCTGTTGTATTCACTGTAATTTCTACAGTCTCCTTGGCTCTAAATCTCTACAATGCCATGGCTAGAAAGTGAGAATGAAGTAGGAGAAAGCTATGGTCTTTGAAAAGACACCAGGGGCATTCCACCGCCAGGCGCTGGCCAACCTCTCATATTGTATAGCCCAAGAAGAGAGAAGAGTATTTATTTGCTTTCAGAAAAGAAAATAGGTAGAACTTATACCTTCTGAAATAATTGTTTATCAACCTTTGGATATTAGACTATGTATCTCAGCTGGGGAAATCCTTAGACTCTCAAACTTTGTCTTGAGTCTTTAAAGCTTGAGTCTAGAAGCTGCAAAACAACTTTGAAGTATAAAGGCAACTCACCTTTACCAAAATTTTATCTAAGAGACAAAGGCCTCCAGATTCCTTTGGACTTAGCTTTGATATAAAGAAATATGAGAAAGGGAGGGGTCATGATATAACTTGTATCAGGCTTTGTGCCCAACTCTCACCATACCTGGAACTAAAATAAGTACTTGCTCTTCAGGATCTTTCCAGTCCTGAAGATGGTACAAAAGAGGCTTGGAAAAAATTTTAAGACAATTACTACTTTCCACTCAATGTTTTCCAATGTTCAGCAATGCTTCTTTGGCCTCAGTCTAGATCTAAAAAGCACTTGTCCCTAACCCAGTGCTGCCCGTGGCTTGCCACTAGACTGGATAAGTCTCTTCGTTTCTTGGTGATACTTGGAATACTGGAAAATAAAATTTACTACTTGCAAACGCACAGCTGATAGGAAATTTTTCTACTTTGCTGTAAGTAGGCCTTGAAAAAAATCTGTTGATCCCATCCTTCCTGCTTCAAAGCCTCCTGCTTCATGATGGGCAATCTTGAGTGAGCTTTCAACCTTTTCCTCTTTCACTCAATTGTTAATATATTTAAGGCATGTTGTGCCTTTATACGTAGTCTTGCAGCCTTGAATCCTCCTTATCATCCTCAGGAATGTGGCAGGGTGGCCGCACTGTTTCTAGCATTAGAGAGAAACATAGTGGCAGAGCCCAGGTGAAAGTAAGTGGTCCACATATCATTAAGCATGAATTTGTCTAAATGTTCCTATTGCCTAGAGTGAGGAAGTAGTTCAATGTTCTGGAATAGAAGGCAGGGTACAGGGAAATTTGCTACAATTCTCAATTTTAAATGTTTATAACTGTAATTACTTATTGCCATATAAAAATTATTTGTTCTATTTTTAATCCCATTATGGAAATGATGAGACTGACATAGTTAGGAGAAATTAGAAATTATAGTATTCGTTTGCCTTGGACTTGGTACTTACAAGGTACTAGCCTTATCTCAGTGGTTCTCAAGCTTCATTGGGTGTCAGTGTCACTTGTGGAGCTTCATGGACTGCACAGTGGCCTAGGTCATGAACCTGGGTCTCTGAGTTCTTCATGCGGTCTCCAGGTTATTCTGCTAGACACCAAAGGTGTCTACCATTAACCTGTATTAACTCACTAGATACAGCCAAGATTAAAGTACAAGGTGATAGAATTGGTAGAGTGCCTACAAGTCACCTAAAACAGAGGTTCAGGAAGGTTAAGCGACTTGTTCGAAGTCAGAGTTATTGCTCACACAGAATTCAAACCCACATGTTTGTCATTTCACTTTAGGGTCTTTTTACTATATAATTTTGAGAATTCTGGAGCAGTTAACTTAAGGATGTATCACATGCCCCACCATATTACAGCATAATTAGCAATTTAATTATAATTTTAGTCTTAACTATGGAAGAAAACACTGCCATATGTTAAAGGCAATATATTGTCAGTAAAACTCATTTTTTTAAAGGAATACATCCATTTTCATGGACTGTAACATTAACAGCAGAATATCCTGATTGCTTATATGCCTGAAATTAATGGTGCTGTGTCCTTTCCCAATAGGTAAATGATCTGAAGGTCCAGCGCAAAGCGATAAATGAACTCATCAGAGTGATGCATGAGCTGACACCAGGATCTAACCTGAGGAAGCGGAGAAGGAGCCCAAAACTGTTTCATGCCCGAAGTGCCTCAAAATAATCATCTTCCCACCTGCAATGTTTGAATTTTTAAATCTAAATCTATTTATTATTTAATATTTTACATTATTTATATGGGGAATATATTTTATACTCATGGTCAAAGTATTTATAATAGCAACATTTATGTAATGAAAATGAGTATCTATTAATATATGTGTTATTTATAATTTCTGTATCCTATGACTATTTTACTTGACCCTTTATTTTTTCTGACTGACTAGGCAAAGTTACATGATTACAGGGCTCTATCTCAGGGGCCACTTGGCAGCCGACCTAAGCAAGACCCTGTGGGTTGTGCATTTATTTCACTTGATAATATAATAAACACTTATAAATAAACTGATGCCATCCAGTCGCTGCCTATTTGAGATCATGCCTGCATTCTGAGCCACTGCTTTAATGGCATGTCACACAGCACTTGAATGTGTAGGTCCTATGACTTGTCCCCTGATAAAAACATCACATCTTATCTCATGCCTGGTGCTTCAGAGTATTGCTGACAATTGTGACTACATCCAAATGCAAAGTATTTTGCTTGTTTTGTTTATCAATATTTTATATATGAATAAAGCATAGTTTCTTAACTATTTATGTTGTGTCAGACCTTTTCTAAGTAAGGACTATGGTAAATGTACTACATACTAATGAATTATCACAAAGAAAGTCAATTTTAGCTGTGGAAATCTTAGACTTGGATCAAGTCCCATTAAATGTGGTGTTTCTCTCCACTGGCAATTTGTTGGCTTCCACTCTCCATTGGGCAGCTCTTTAAGTTATCTTTCCAAAATACAGATTTAAACAATTGCCATTGACCTCAGAGCTTCTATTATGGGAAGTAGTCCAAATTATTTAGCTTAGCATACAGAGATTTATTTATACCCTCTCCCTCAACTTCCTACTACATCCTTCACCTTGGTATTCCTCACCTCCTCTGTCCACCTTGGCAAACATCACTGGGTATCAATAGTGAGAGTGTACTTTAGGCAAAGAGGCTGGATCAGAATCTTGGTTCTACCATTACAAGTACTGTGAATTTTAATGAATTACTTATATTCGCTAAGCTCCAGTTTTCTCATGTGATAAAAAAGGTATAATTGTGCCTTTCTTATAATATTGTGGTGAGAGTTCATTCTTTCATTTAAAAAATACTTATTGAAGCATGTGCCTAGTGTTTCTAGGTACCTGAGATAACTTTGTGAACAAAATGGACAAGGATCCCTGCCCTTGGGGAATTTAAAGTTTAACAAGGTGGGCCAGATAATCAACAAAATATGTTACTATGTTACTATGTTAATAAATATGTTAACATATAATAATATGTTAATAAATGACATGCTGTGTTAGAAGGTGATAGGTACTATGAAAAAAAATCAAGATGGGGGAATTGAGAAAAGCCTAAGTAGGGTAAAGTGGATAAATAGAGTGATTGTAGTTGGCTTTATTGAAGAGATGACATTTGAGGGAGTTCTTGTAAGAGGTAAGAGAGCTAGGTATCTGGATTCCAGGCAAGGAAATATCCTTGTAAAGGCTCTCAAGTAGAGACTTGCTTTGCATAGTTTCTTAAAGAAGATACTTAAAGAAGTATCAGTAGACTGGTGTGGTTGGAATGGGTGAATAATTGGAGTCAAGAGTAGCTCCAATCTTTTAGCTGAGCAACTAAAAATATAAAATTGTCATTAACAGAGATAAGGAACTAGAGTGAGCAGTTTAGGGGAGGATAATCAGAAGTTCAATGTTGAACATTAAGTCCATTAAACTTCAAAGTAGAGGTGCTGAGTAGGCAATTGGCTGGATCAGTCTGGAGTTGAGAGAGGAGTCTGGGCTGTTGACATAAATTTGGGAGTTAAGGCATATGAAGAGGATATTTAAAGACCTAATACCAGTGGGACTCATGAAAGTCATGAGGTGACGTAGTGAAAAGGAAAGTGAAGGATCGAGTTTTTAGGCATGCAATAATTAAGAGGCTAGGTGGATACCAGCAAAGGAAACTGAAAAGATATGGCTGGTGAGATAAGAGGACAACCTAAAAAATGTGACAGCCTGAGGCCACATGAAGAAATTGTTTTAGGAATAAACTGTCGAGTGCAGATAAGTCCAGTAAGATGAGGACTGTGAACTGACCACTACGTTTAACAACATGAAGGGCCCTGGCTGTCTGGGAGGAGAGAAGTTCTGATGCAGACTGAGGATGAAAGCTTGAGTGAAATGGGACAAGAGAGACCTTAGAGATAATGGACAGGGACAACTCTCTTTAGACATTTATTGTAAAGAGAGCGCAGAAAATGGTGTCTGCCAGGCTAAGAATGATAAGAAGTTTTAAGGTTTTCTTTTTTGCTGTTGTTGTTGTTGCTTTTAAGATGGGAGAAAAAACAGCATGTTATGTATTGATGGAAATGAGCTAGCTAAAAATAGAAGATAACATAGGTGAGAGAGCAGAGAGAACTGTACAGTAAGTAAGAGAGGTTACCTGAGGACACAGGATGAACTGGCTTTTAGGCAGATGTACAAAAAGTTCATCTTTGTTAATAGATTGGAAGGCGGATTATGTAAATCTTGATGTTGGTAAGTGGATAAATGTGGTGGTGAGAATTTTTTACTGGTTGTTTAAGTTTTCTCAGTGAGATAGGAAGCTAAGAATGAGGTTCAAGGAAGAAGTGTTGGAGGCTTAGAAAAAGCAGAAGAACAAAAGGATCAGGGGAGTGTGATGTAGATTGGCAGGTAGCCTCTTAACAGACTCTTGGGGTCAGCAGTCTTGAAGTTAAGAGACACAGGTTGGTGTAGTTGAGTGTTTGTCTCTATCCATACAAGTCTATGCATGAAGATACAGACTAAGGAAAAAGTTTCATTTAGCAGACTTTAATTTGGTCAAGCAAGTAGGACAGAGGGAGAGAGGATGAGGACTCACAGGGAGATACAAGGATATTCTCATAGCAGCTAGTGAATTGGTGGCAAACTCTAAGCTGATGAAGGAGGAGAGAGAGTATGTTAAAGTTGCTCAAAGAGACTGAGATGTTTGCATGAAAGAATATCTGCCCTACCTCCAGGTCCAAAAGATGAAAGAAAGAAAAATAGCCACCATTTGAAGGGCAAGTAGGGGAAGCAGTGTCATTTGGGGAAAATCAGTTTATCTTCTGGGCATGAGGAAGTTGAGTTATGATGAATTTAGTTAGTTCTGGGTGGTGAATTCCAGAAGATCCAGTGAGCAGGATTAATTAACAAGGTCATAAAAGGGAATGTACTTAAGAATGTGCCACGAGTCTGGGACTTCTTATGATCACTGACATTAACAAAAATAATGGATATACTTACCTTAGGACCAATAGTGATGGCAAGATTGTGAGGACAGAGAGGGTTAGATGTCTGGGGATTCCTTCCCAACTATTTCACTTAGCGCTTCCACGACAGTAGAGTTAAGTGAAATACTTCATGTATAGAGATTGGTTTAGTCCTTGACACTGATCAGTGGTCATCATTTTGATTAATAGGTAGGTAAGTAACAGTTGGTGAGACTTGATTCTAAAGTATTGAATCTTTGATGAGACAAGATTGAAAAAAATTGGGCAGATCTTGGCACAACTGCAATTAATATGAGCTGTGGTTGGTGTCTTCAATCTTGTTAGCATTTAAAATTGAAAAAAATGACTAAAGTAGACTTTAAGACATCTATAGATTAAGGGCTACTATAAAATAATGTTGTTTAGATCATAGATTCAGACCATACCTGGATGGAAGGGATTGGAAATTTCTACTGTCAGTTTTTAAAAAGATCTTATTTATTTTTAGAGAAAGGGGAAGTGAGGGAAAAAGAGAGGGAGAGAAACATCAATCTCACATGCTCCCTACTGGGGACCTGGCCTGAAACCCAGGCATATGACCTGACTGGGAATGGAACCAGTGAGCCTTTGGTTTGCAGGCCAGGGCTCAATCCACTGAGCTACACCAGCCAGGCTGTCAGTTTTTTTTGAGAGGTTATTAATCATGAAATTGGAAATGGAGCCCCAGATGGTGGGCCTTGGTCTATGGCTACATAAACCAGCTATCTCTCTGAGGCTGGTTAGTGAATTGGTGGCAAACTCTAAGCTGGTGAAGGAGGAGAGAGAATATGTCAAAACATAGGAGAGTATGTCAAAATTTCTCAACACCATGAGGGGCAGTTATTACCTTAGGCTCATGGCAACAGTGGCAGCAGCCAGGGCAAACAGTGGGGGACCCTATTGAATAATGCCCCACTCTTGGTGACTCTAAGAAATATCTGGTACAGCCTTACTGGCAGGGTGATTTAGCAATTGGGCAATTGTACTTGAGCATTAACAATGAATTTTCCTCTTTTTTTCTCTTCTTTTTTTCATTCTTTCTACCCCTTACCATCCTGACCAATATAATCAAAGTTATTCATTGCCTCAAAATAAGGTAGGAATTTGTAGCTGCCCACAATAGGGAGTCATAGTCTAAGCAAAATGAGAAGGGTATGGATGAAGGTGGAAAATCTTCTGTGGAAGGTATCAGAGCCTGAGCAGAATTAGGAGATTGCCCAAGAGGCAAATGGGGAAAATATTAGTTTCTAGTGCTGTTGTAATAAATTACAACAAACCTAGTTGCTTAAATCAACTCACATTTTTTATCTTCTTGTTTTTGAAGTTAGTATACCAAAATCAGTCCCAGTAGATAAAACCAAGGCATCAGTAGGGTTGCATTCCTTTAGGAAACTTTAGGGGAGAGTCTGTTTCCTTGCCTTTTCCAGCTTCTGGAGGAAACCTACATCGTCAGCCAGTGGACTTCTTTTCCTTCCTCAAAGCCAGCAGCATAGCATCTTCCATATTCTCTATTCTTCTGACATTTCTGCCTCTCTGTGATAAAGACCCTTGTGATTACATTGGGACCATTTGGATAATTCAGGATGTCCCCATCTAAGATTGTTAACTTAATCATATCTGAAAAGTCTCTTTTTCCATATAAATTATCATTCACAGATTCTGGGAATTAGGATGTGGACGTCTTTGGGAGGACCATTATTTAGCCAGTCATAGTGGGCAGCCTGACATGGGGAGTCAGAATTAGAGCAGAGTGAGCAGATTGTATATGTGGAAGATGGACTGGGGTCATGGTCCACACAAGATAAGAGAACATCCTTGTGGTGGGTAGCCCAGCATGGGGAGTCAGAGTAAAGTAAGAATGGCATCCATGAAGGTCCTGGCCAGGATGGAAGTGCAGGTAGACATACTTTTCCTCCTTACATGACCAAATGAAGGAAACAACAAATTTAAAAACAAAAGACAATTAGAACTGTCAGAAAATCAAACTGTATGGAAGTCCGACAATCAAAGAGTTAAAAAAGAAACATTTATCCAGACTGGTAGGAGGTAAGGAGATGGGCAGCTGGGTTGGAGAGGATGGATGTGCAGCAAGGTGGTGGGTGGCAGACTGGATGGTCCCACATTTGTGTGCAGATAAATGGTGAGAAACAACTGGGAACTGAGACAGACCAAACAACCCAGG